CTTGTGTTTCTTTTCTCTTTTACGATTTTTTTAATCTTTTTCTATGTTTATAATTTAATTGTTGGGAAAATAAAATAACAACGGTATTCCCCCTATAATTAAATGCTGTGAAAAAATGAAGAAATTATAGGATATTATGTCTTTCTCTTCTCGCCTACTGGTCTTAACCCCTCTTCCCACCTTTAATTATGGTACTAAAATAGATAAAAATTTGAGGCCCCATTTTGCTCCGGTCGTATGCTGCATAAACGTTGCGGTGAGGTCAACTTCCTTGTCGCCTCTCCGCGGCAGGTCAATCCCGGTCTAACCCTCGGAACGGTCGGAAATGGCAGTCCCTAGACATGCCGAGTCCGGTCACCCATCTCGCCATCTTTGAGGGTTACTCATAATGCTCAATGCGCCCAAAATCAGGGGTGCCTGAGTTCCCCTAATTTTTGCTGTCTGGTCATACGAGACTTCCATCAAAACACGGATCTGCCCCTGACCCTAAGTCGCAAAACTGCGGTTCTCAGGCGGCACACTGCCTGTGGCCGCCTGACAGTTAGCCCGGACCACTTCTCGACGTCCCCGTCGAGCCCCTAGCAACTTATGTCAGACGAAGCGGACGAGCCTCAGGGTTATGGCCCGTAAAGGACACCCACGTCGGCGCCCAATTGTCTTGTGTTTAAGTTTGTTACGATTCCTGGGGCTAAGAAGATGCTTCTTGATTCTCCTGTTTCGTCTGGTTTGTGGCCCCGTCACGATCCTCTTTTTCTTCTGTCTTTGCCGCGAGAAGGGTGTCGACCCGCCAGTACGTCTAACGCGAACTCTCCGTCTGGCTCGCTTGAGCACRAATAACCATCTCTTCTCTCTTCCTAAGGCTAATCCTTTGACCTTTCTCTTCCCTATYCTTTTYCTTTTCTTGGAACTCTCCCCTGCCTCGTATTGCCTCAAGKGGGCTCCATCCTCCATYATGGCTTTCCCTTTCCCTTTCGGGCTGGTTAGCGATAAAGCGGGCGTGGGCCTGGGCCTAAACARCTTTAACCTAGCCCCCGCCACTGGGTCCTTCCACTTAGATCCGTCTAGTTCTGCTATCATRTATGCACCCCAGTCAAGTRCCTCAACCACTCTGTAAGGTCCCATCCACCTATTGGCAAGCTTTCCSGTCCAGGTCCTCTCCAGTGCCGCGTCGTAGAGAAGGACCATATCTCCTACGCTCACCCGCTCTTTCCTGATTCGGACGTTCTTATCCCATCTCTCTTTACCCTTGTCCCTTTCCACTGCAAGACGATCAGATGTTGTCATAAGGTTATCTTCCAACCCGTAGGCTATCTGTCTTGTTCGAGCAGCTAAGAGTTCCTCTCTGGACATCTCCTCTGCCCAGTCGACGGTTGTTCAACTGTCGACGTGAAACTCTATGGGAAGCGGACAATGTCGCCCAAACCACAAGGTGTACGGTGGGTATCCGGTACTAGCCCGGACCGTGACATTGTCCGCCCATATTGCGTATCGAAAATATCGTGGCCAATCACTGTC